GTGCCATTATTTTAAAAAGACTGTAAGGAAAAGTCAGAGAACTATAGACCAGTAAGCCTTATGTCAGTGGTGACTAAGGTGTTGGAGGGGATTCTGAGGGACATGCATTTGGAAAAGCAAGGACTGATTAGGGATAGTCAACATGGCTTTGTGCATGGGAAATGGTGTCTCACTATTGATTGAGTTTTTTGAAGAGGTGACAAAGAAGATTGGTGAAGGCAGGGCGGTAGACGTCGTGCATGCGGACTTCAGCAAGGCATTCAACAAGGTTCTGCATGGCAGACTGGTTAGTAAGGTTGGATCACATGGGATTCAGGGAGAGCTAGCCAATTGGATACAAAATTGGTTTGAAAGTAGGAGCAGAGGGTGATAGTAGACGGTTGCTTTTCGGACTGGAGGCCTTTGACCAACAGTGTACGACAAAGATCGGTGCTGGGTCCACTGTCCAAAGTCGGTGGTGTAGTAGACAGTGAAGAAGGTTATCTCGGAGCACAACAGGACCTTGATCAGTTGGGACAGTGGGCAAGGAGTGGCAGATGGAGTTTAATTTAAATAAATGTGAGGCATTTTGGTATGGAAAAGCAGGACAGGACTCATACAGTTAATAGTAGGGCTCTGGGGACTGTTGCTGAACAAGGAGACAGGGGTGCATGTGCGTAGTTCCTTGAAAGTGGAGCTGCCGGTAGACAGGATAGTGAAGAGGCATTTGGTACACTTGCCTTTATTGGTCAGTGCATTGAGTATAGAAGTTGGGAGGTCATGTTATGGCAGTACAGGACATTGGTGAAGCCACTTTTGGAATACTGCATAAAATTCTTTTCCCTTTCTGTGGGAAAGATGTTAAACTTGAAAGAGTGCAGAAAAGATTTACAAAGATGTTACCAAGACTGGAGGGTTTGAGTTGTGGGAAGAGGCTGAATAGGTTGGGTTTTATTTTCCCCGGAACATCAGAGGCTTTGAGGGGTGACCTTGTAGAGGTTTATAAAATCATGAGGGGCATGGATAGGCTGAATAGCCAAGGTTTTTTTTTTCTAGGGTGGGGGAGTCCAAAACTAGAGGGCATAGGTTTAAGGTGAGAGGGGGAAAGTTTACAAAGACTTGAAGGGTAACATTTTCAACCAGAGAGTGGTGCATGTGTGGAATGAGCTGTAAGAGGAAGTGATAGAGGCAGGTGCAATTAAAAGGCATCTGGATGAGTATATGAATAGAAAGGGTTTAGAGGGATATGGGCCAAATACTAGCAAATGGGACTAGGTCAGATTGGGATGTCTGATCAACATGGACGAGTTGGACTGAAGGGTCTGTTTCCGTGTGTGTGACTCTATGACTCTAACTCAGAGACAACAAGTTCTCTTTGTCATTTTCCTATCTTAAAAATATGTCCCCTGTTTTCAGTCTTGCCCACAAGAGGAAACATCCTCTTTTTATTCACCTTATCCAGCCCCCTCAAGATATCGTATCTTTCACTAAGATCATCCCTTATTCTTCTAAATGTCAATGGGTATAGACCTAAACTTTTAAACCTAACTTCATAATTTAACCCTTTTATCCCAGGAATGAGCTGAGTGAACCTTCCATGTAATTCTTCTAAAGCAAGTTGTTTTTCCAAATAAGGAGACTAAAAATGTGCATACTTCAAATGTGGCCTCGCCTGCAAAAGTAGAACTTTGCTACTTTTGTATTCCATTCCCCTTGCAATAAACAGCAATATTCCATTTGTCTTCTTATTCACTTTCTGAACGTGCAGACTAACTTTTTTGTTATTCATGTACCTGGACACCGGATCCCTCTGTACCTCCACGTTCCGCAGTCTTTTCATTTAAATCATGTATGGCTTTTCTAATGTTCCTGCCAAAGTGGACATAAGACCTTAAGATCATAAGACATAGGAGCAGGATTAGGTAATTTGGAACATCATGTCAGCTCCGCTGTTCGATAGTGGTTTATGTTTCTGAACCTCATTCTCCTGCCTTCTCCCCATAACTTTTGATCCCTTTGCTAATCAAGTAACTATCTATCGCTGTCTTAAATATACTCAATGACTTGGCCTCCACAGCCTTCTGCAGCAATAAATTCCACAGGTTCACCATCCTTTGGCAGAAGATATTCCTCCTCATTTCAGTTCTAAAGAATCACCTCTTCACTCTTGAGACTGCTCTAGTCTCTTCTAGTGGAAACATCTTCTCCACATCTACTCTACCCAGATCTCTCAGTATTCTGTAAATTTCAATGAGATTATCCCACCCGTCCTTCTAATTCTGAGTACAGGCCCAGAATCCTCAATTGCACCTCATGACGTGCCCTTCATCCCTGGGATTATTCTTGTAAACCTTCTCTGGACCCCTCCGAAGCCACCATATCCTTCCTTAGATACGGGTCCCAAAACTGCTCTCAATCTTCCAAATGCGGTCTGTTGAGAGTCACTTACGCCTCAGTAGTACATCCGTGCTCTTGTATTCTAGCCGTCTCAAATTGAATGCTAATATTGCATTTGCCTTCCTAACAACCAACTGAACCTGCATGTTAACTTTAGGAAATTCTGAACTCAGCCCATTTGTACCTCAGATTTCTGAAGCCTTTTTCCATTTAGAAAATCGTCCAGACCTCCATTCTTCCTACCAAAATGCATAAATTCACTTTCCCACGTTGTATTCCATCTGCCGCTTTTTTGCCCATTGTCGTGGCCTTTATTCTGCAGTCTCCCCACCTCTTTAGCAGTACCTCTTCCTCCATCTGTCTTTGTGTCATCTGTAGAATTAGTAACAATGGCCTCACTTTCAATGTCTAGATCATTAATGTATGATTTGAATTGTTGTGGTCCCAACAATGATCCCTTTGGAACTCTACTAGTGACCGGGTGTCATCCTGAAAAAGGACTCCTTTATCCCTGCTCGCTGCCTAATGCCAGTCCACTAATTCTCTATTCATGCCAGTAGCTTACCCCTGACACCATAAGGTCTTATTTAGCAGCCTCCTGTGTGGCACCTTGTCAGAGGCCTTCTGGAAATCCAAATACAGTAGATCTCATCCACTAGCTCTCCTTTGACTAACTTGCTCATTACCACCTCAAAGAATTCCAATAGATTTGTCAGGCATGATCTCCCTTGATGAAGCTGTGTGAATCCAAATATTCACATTTATCCATGTTACGCTCTATTTGCCAAATATTTACCGATTTACTTAACAGGCCTATATCCTTACCTCCTCTTCATAACATATTTTTCTACCTATCTTGGTGTTTTTGGCAAAATTTGCTACCACACATTCAGTCCCTTCATGGATTGTAAATAGTTGAAGACCTACTGATCCCTTGGCGCTGTACCTGTGACAGTTTGCAAATATGTTACACCCTACGCCAGGGCTTCCCAGAGTTTGGTCATTAGCCAAACACATGTCATGAGGTCCAAGTCAATGGTGGCTTCATTGTCTGTGACACATTTAAATCTTTGCATTTCTTTTAAACTTTGAGCATGGGCTAAATGACTTAAGTTTGAGACTTGGCTTCTGTACAAGGGAAAAATGATTAGCCTTGCATGCTTGCTAGTACTCTTTTCTTTTACTGTCATCACTGAGGGGTTACACCAGTCCTCCACTCACCAGTCTCCTTAAAAGTGTGCCACTGCAACTCAACTGCACCACTGTTTAACCTATCTTCCTTGTTCACTTTAGCCAGCTCTGTCTTGATTCTCTCAGTTATGCTTAAAACACTAGTCATGGACTCACACTTCTCCCTTTAAAATTAAAATTACAATTATATAATGTCATTATCTCTGTCACTCAAAGTCGTCTTTACCATCAATAATTGATTAATCCTGTCTTATTATTTAATGTAATAAATTTAACAGACAAACAAGTGAATATGAGTGAGCAGTATTAACCTCAATAGAACTTGCCACCCTACCAGGGGGTAGAGCAGAGTTAATTGGGGATTCGGAATAAAATTGGATGGATTCTTGAAGGAAACAAACTTAGAGGGTTGTGGGAATATGACGTAGAAATTAAACTGGTTTAGAAACAAAAAGACTGCAGATGCTGGAATCCAAGGTAGATGAACAGGAGGCTGGAAGAGCATAGCAAGTCAGGCAGCATCTGGAGGAAAGGAGAAGTCAACGTTTCGGGTATTACCCTTCTTCAGGACTCAATTGACTGGATTTCTCTGCAGAGAGTCAGCATGTTTGTACATATTGTTTATATACCTTTTCATTTGACTATTCAGAAATTAATCACTGTGATTGCAGTGCCTGAATCTGGCTTGAATTGTTTGCTTGAGAATGCATAGTAAACCAAAAGGTTCAAATTGCTACATCTCTTTTCAAATATCCCTAAAAATTGTGATCAAGACTTCTTAGATTTGAGTAATTGATGAGCTTTATTTGAAAATAATTGGCTGCCATGAACATGATTGAAGAAAATATTATCTTTGTTAGAAACTAACTTTGTTCCTCTGTCAAGGCTTTCAGGTAACCATGAAATTTGAAATGTTTTATATTGAGTTAAACTTCAGATTCTTTCTTTTATTGGTTTTGCTACGTCATTTGATCATGTATCTGAATGGAAGTTGGCAGTACACATCCCTGTTTTGACACTGCTGATTCTGATGAGTTGGATTAGGACCTGATTGGAAAAAGGAAATACCCTGCATTAGACAAGAGAGGTCTGATTTGAAAGTTTGATTTTTAGGTTTTGCTATAGTGCATTCTGTTAATATGGATTATTTGCTTGTTACCTGCTAACAAGTATAACTTTAGATGAACAAGTAGCAGCATGTGTTTTAACCATTTTGATTTGATCCAGAATGGTTAAATTTATTAAGTCTGCAGTAGTATTGATCATATGTTAGAATAACTATGTGGATCATACTCCTATCTTTATGAAATTTGATAATTACTGTTCTTTTGAAAGCTTTAATATGCTTTTATTATGTTAGGTGGTGATGTATCCATTCTGCAGTGAATACACAACTGCATAACACTCAACAAATGATTTATTTTGTTTTGCAGAATTCTTTGACGCTGTGCCTGTAAGTTAGCCACATTAGATCAATATGACATTCAAGCTGGTGTTGCTAAGACATGGTGAAGGTGCATGGAACAAAGAAAATCGATTTTGCAGTTGGGTTGACCAAAGGTTGACTCCCAATGGTATAAAAGAAGCCCAAACATGTGGAAAGGTACTAAAAGAAGCCGGACTTGAATTTGATCTTGTGTTTACCTCTATTTTGAGCCGATCCATTGAAACTTCATGGCTAGTTCTGCAGGAGATGGGGCAAGAATGGGTGCAAACTGAGAGCTCTTGGCGACTTAATGAGCGCCACTATGGAGCATTAATTGGTCTTAACCGAGCAGAGTTGGCTTCAATTCATGGAGAAGAGAAAGTTAAGCTTTGGAGAAGAAGTTATGATATCACTCCACCTCCTATTGATGAATCACATTCATACTTCTATGAAATTTACAATGATCGAAGATACAATTATTGTGATGTTGCAAAAGACAAGCTACCCAAAGCTGAGAGTTTGAAGGAGGTTCTTGATAGACTACTGCCATATTGGTATGATGTAATTGTGCCGGAAATAAAGAAAGGGAAATGCATTCTAATATCAGCACATGGAAACAGTGCCAGGGCTCTTCTTAAACATCTGGAAGGTAAAATAACATATCTATAGAATGATTTTTTTTTTTTATTTCCTTGCATCATGGTTTTAAAATTGTCATAACGTGTTGTGTTTTGCCATGAAATGTTGAAATGGACAGTTAAATTCTTGACCTCCATTTCAATTGGGTCTTTTTTGTGTGGTAGAGTAGATAGGTGTGTTCTTTCTCAGCAGCTGTATAGGACCCAGAGGAGCATATGGGAAAGAAAGAAATGAATTAGATAAGTCACTAATTTTGCCGAGCAATTTGGGAAATTCTATGTCCATGATAAAGCCAGAAAAGCTATAAAATAGATCGAGTAGGAATTCTTTTAAAGTTTTTAATGCGTTGATTTTCATCACTGTTGTGCAGGCACCCTGTGTGGGTACAATTCCCTGAATAGGCTTTGAGAATACTGTTGTTGGAAGAGGTCTCCCTATGTCCACAACTGTTTGGCTTCTATAATTTAGTAAGGGCCATCATCAGGGGAGAGAAAAGTGCACAAGTTGTTGAAGGGGAACAAAATGGTGGCTGAAAATTCTTTCAAAAATTGCCTTTAAGCTTTTGATTGACACAATTTTCCCTTCCCCAAATTATTTATTGGCAGATTCTCTGGACTCAACATTGAGATTTGTTTGCTTTCTTTGAAAGTCTACCTAGTACAATTTCTCCCATTTTATTCAAGCAGCGCCTACTTGTTCGATTTTTAATTTACTGACTTTGAAAACATGCGACTTGATCCTGTTATGAGCATCCAGTGACATGAGTTTTGTTTATCAAATGTGAAATGTCATATTGCCTGAAGTTTTTCAAATATTATTGGATAGGAAAGACCAAGGAATATTAACTCAAAGATATAACAGAAAAATATGCAGAAACTAAAACTATAATAAGGAGTAATTAGCCTGGACTTCAAAAGAGAATACTTGACCAACTTCATTGAAATCTTTGAAGCAGTAAGAGTAGACACTTGGTAATGCAATGGATGTAATGCACTTGCATTTTCAAAAGACCTTCAATGAAGTACCACTTGGTTAACTTGTAGCAACGCGGAGCATGTGGAATCAGGGATCGTGTTGCATATTGGATGGCAAGTGGCCACAAGGTAAGGGTTGCTACTTAAACGGTCCACAAGAATTGCCCATTGTTGTTCACCATTTACAAAAATAATTTAGATTCAGAAGCAGAATTTCAAATCTGACACCAAATTACAGATACAATTGTTATGGAGGGTGGCTGTAATACAATACAAGACACTTGTAAAATTGCAGAATAGATGCGTAATTCCAATAAGGTAAATGTGAGGTGGTACATTTTAATGGGAAGAACATTCTTCTTGGAAAACAGGGATTAGTTTATGTCCTAACGGCGGTACAACGTATATTGGATTGCCTGCCACTTATAATCACTGTTTGATTTTCGGTGATCTGCCTGATTTAAATCCTTTTTTGCACCATTACCTGAGATGTTATTCTACCCTTAAACGTCTAAATGGGGCAGAGGAACAAGAAGATCTAGGATTCAAATGCACAAGTTGTTCAAAATAGCAATGGTCAGTTAAGGCTATTTAAAAAAAAAAAAAGGCTCATTCCTAGAGGAAAAGAATTAAAACCTGGAGATGTTCTGTAAGTTGTATACCACATTTGTGTGCAGTTCTAATCTTCATATTATAAAAATCTAATAAGAGATGCTGGCAGAGGTGCTAATAAGATTTACAAGAATGATACAACATTTGAAAGGTTGTACCTATCATAATTGGTAGGGCTGTTCTCTAGAAAGAGAAGGTTGAGGGATGTCCTGTAGATCTCCTCAAGAATATGAATGGGCTTGATAGGATAGAAGAGGTTTCCACTTTTGAATACCAACTCCAGGGCCATAATTGTCAAGTAATTACTAATAAATCCAAGTAAGGAAATCAGAAGAAACTTTATCCTAACTATTCTGTGTTTAAAAATATTGGACTCTGGTTAGGAGTGGTTGAGATTTGCGTAAGATGCATTTAAGTGAGAGCTAGATGTATGAGAGAAAAAAAGTAGAATATTATGCTGACAGGGTTAGTTAATGAGGCTTGGGATAAAGCTCAACAAAACAAATCAAATAGGAATATTACTGGGTCACAGTAATGAAAATCAAAACACAGTTGTGCTCCTCTCCTAATTTCTTTCTTGTTCAATACCAGAACACAATCCCACAGTTGCCAGCATCGCCCATGCAGTCTTTGCTTAAGGTATAAGCCCCACAGCTTATTGCAAGTTAGTCAGTCATCAGGTAAAAGGCTTAGCCTAGATCTGCCAGTGCTGAGCATGTACATTCCACTAGTGTCACTGGATCTATTTGATTTTCTTTTCCCTCACTGGTTTGGGGACACAAAGCAATTGCAGTACCATTGCAGTACAGAAGGCCAACTTTTGTCATGTCCACCTTTGTATTGCATAATTTATTTTCTGGTTTATAAAGGCTGACTGGTTTTCTGGAATCCTTATCTTAAAATGTGTTTTTCTAAGCTCTAATCTGTTAAAAATATACATTGTACAAAGGATATGCCATAGAGCTTGTGTTACAGATAGATTGAAATGAACTTTGTGACATTTAGAAATGGGAGAACATCCAAGGCCAAATTTGCAACTCCTTGCTTTATCAATAGGTTGCAGTTTGCAGGAGTGTAGGCGGACTGCAGTTAACCTGTCGATATGAGATAAGCCCATAAACCTAATCCTCCGTTCTATCGTGATAAACTGCAGTGCTTATTTATAAATATTTTTTAAAAACAGAATTCTTTAACTTGTATAATTTATTAAAAACATTAAGCTGATTGTCCCTAGTGCCACTTTAGCAGCACTATCCCCTCTTTTGTCTTAAAGTTCTAACCAGTGCTTCAAAATGAATGTGACCTTATCTGACGTTCTGGACAGAACTACAGTATTAGTCATTAAACTGAAGTCTGGATTTCCTGCTTCGATGGATCTTAAGAAACAAATTGCATAGCAATTTTGGAAAAACACTGGACTTTTCTGAATGTAGCTTAATTTATTCCACTCTCACTTGAAAACAGATAATAGGGCATATTTGCTGATTAATTTCTGATCTGATTTGCAAATGTTGGTTGCTACATTTGTTTAAATAACTTCAAGTTCTTGCTTGGTAAAAATTTTAGTTTGGAGCATCCTGAGAATCTTATGAAGCGCTATAAATTTTTATTTTAAATTTTCCTCAATAAGCAACAGAATACAGATTGTTACACTCCATACAACTTACTAAATATATACAGTACCTAGATGAAACATTGCATGAATTACAGCAAAATAAGAATGAAATATCTATTTTTCATATCAGCCAGTCATACAGTTTGTTTTAATGTGTACTTGTTAAACTGGCAAGACAGCATTATACTAAAATGTACAGTATGATGCCTTTTTTAGTACTGACAAATTTGCAATGCATTTCTGGATCTTCAGTCTTTTACCACTCTTGCACACCAGCACTGGTCTAGCCAACATCATTGATTAGTGCCCTGTTCACCACCATAAACACCCTGTGCACACCCTTCCCCCAGCAATGTGTACCATATGCAAGATATAGCAACTCACCTAGAATTCTTCAAACACACCTTCTAAACGCATGACCTTTACTACCTACTTAAGAACAGCAGATATATGGGAGCGCCACCACCAGCAAATTCTACTCCAAGCCCTAAACCACTCTGATTTGGAAATATATTACCGTTCCTTCACTGCAACTAGGTCCAAATCCTGAAAATCCCTTCCTTATGATAATTTTGGATGGACTATAGCTGTTCTGAAGGGAATTTGGGGGTGAATAACAAACACCGGCCTAGTTGGCAATTTCCACATCCCATGAAAGACTAAAACATTTTTAACAGGTCTTGGAGGAAGTGAAAAGGCACTAGTGTATTGAACGCAGCATTGACACATGAAGCTTCAGAAACAAAATTAAGATAACCTAAGAAATGAAGCAAGTTTGATCAGTGTTGCTATGTCCCTAACTGTAGAGACAGCAATATAAAATGTTGCAGCTTCAGGTAACCCCATTTATAAGCATCAGTATCAAGGTCAAATGATAGTGCCAGAACCTATTATTTTATCCATGAATAGGGCAGGATCTGCAACAAGCACCCTCCAGTAGACAGAAAGTATCTCATCAATGCACTTAGCAGTGCATTTCACTAAAGAAAACACCAGCATATAGCTATCCACCCTAAAGAGTTCAAAGAAATGGCAGACTGGATGAAACATTGAGCACAAGTGAGCAATAACAGAAGTAGATGAAGGAGAAAGAGGAAATATCTCACCAAGGGCAGAGATAAGTCCCTTCAATTGATGTGGACATCAGGGATTGCATCACCTTTTGTAAGTTGTACATTTTGGGGGTTGTGCAACATGCAGCAATAAATTTGAAGCACTGCATGACTTAAATGAATGGAAATTATGCAGTGTTAGGAACACACATCTATGGCTTTTGAGAAATTGGAATAGGGAACTGTTTCGATGTTACCTCGGTTGAAAAGGAATTTATCCTGTGATTTCTTGGAAACGAGAAGTTAAAAGGAGAACCAGCGCGCTATCTCCCTCAGCCATAAAGTAATAATCTTAAAGCAAAATGGGCTAAAATGTTCTTTACCCCTGAAAAAATTTCAAACATCAGAATTCCTGTTTCCTATCCAAATCCAAAATCTGGTTTCAAGACCTTATGTCATCCTGCAACTATTAACAATCGAATGTCCTCAACAGGAAATAAAAGGAACTGTAAAACATCAACCCATTCTAACTTCTGAATTCGAGCCTTTGGCCTACAGGTTTCCTTCTTTTGTCTTTTTCTTTCAACTCCATAATACTGCTGCAGAGCTCTCATCTTGTTTTGTGTGTGCACAAATTTGTATGTGTGGAATTAGGGGAATGTATTTTATGTCTGCATAGTATCTTTAGTCACTTGTTTAAAGAATAAGTTTGTTCTTAATGAAAAATTATTATTGAGTTTGTTGAAGAAACCTGGCAAAGTCTCTTCTTCTAGTTAACAGTATTGAAGCAAAATAAACTGAGCATTTTGGTGATAAATTAAAACATTTGCATGTTTGGTATGGTTTGTGAGTAATGGGGCTGGATTAACAGCACTTCTGCTAGAGTCATAACATTATACAGCCTTATGAACGCAGTTGTTCAAAACTCATTGATAATGTGGTTCTTGAAATACTTCTGTTTTCTGGAGGGTTCTTGCACATTCTGTCTCATACTTGAGAGGAAAATAGGAAACAATTTGGAACATGTCTTCAAATTATTGAAATGTCTTCAGCAAATAGATGTAATGCTGTTGTTGAGATTGATTGATTGTGTTCATTCATTGTGTGAGAGACAGGAAAATTAGGTGTGGACAAACTTAACCTGACATGGACTCACTTCAAAGATAGGTAACTTTATCATTCTGTTAACTCAGCTACACATTCTATTAACTCAACCATTTCTTCTGAAGAAGTCCTATCACACCTGAAAAGTTAACTTTGTTTCTGTCTTCGCAGATGCTACCAGACCTATTCAGTTTCTCCAGAATTTTCTGTTTTTATTTCAGATTTCTAGCATCAACAGTATTTTGCTTTTATTTCTTTGTATCTCCTTTTTTTTGACAGTTATCTTCAATCCATGTCCCCTGATTACTGTGACCCTCTTCAAGCCAAATCGTTTTTAACTTATTCTTTTAAAATTTACTCTATTAAAACCCTTCAAAATCTTGAGGACCTCATTAGCTCTCTGCTTAATAGCGGCATTTCCTCACTATTATTCCTGTATATCTCCTCTGCGCCCTCTCCAAGTCCTTTACATTCATCCATGTGTTGCTTAGAATTTGACACATTGGGCAGAATCTGCCCCTGCTGAAGAGTGGTGAGGAAAGTGGTAGGAAGGGACTATAATTGGGATTCAGGAGTTACCCACTGCTTTCCTGCCACCACAAGAAACTGAGTGAGAAGGCCAAAGCTTAACCATCCCATCCCATCCCATCCCATACTACCATCAATTGAGGCATTTAAAAGCCTCATTCCCACCTGCGATGTGCTGCATGTATTACAGCCCCTGGCGGATAAGGAAGTCAACCTACTCAACTGGTAAACCAGTGTGGACAGACTGTCAGTTTGGAGATAGGATGGTGAGGGAAGGGGAAAGAGGGTGTTTCCTCAGTCTGCATAATTTGTATAAGACTACAGAACTGGACCCAGTGCAGGGGACAGGGTGCTAAGAGACAATTCCCCTCTTCCTTTGCTTCCAACCTTCTTGTACTCCTTTCTCCACAACCTCCAATCCCAAAAATCTTCCTCATCCCAAACATTACCTACTTTTATTGCAATGATCCTCTGTCCTAGGCTTCAGTGAAATGGTGTTCTGACATGACACTGCAGACCTCTGGAGCTATGTACCTCTGGCTGGTAACTCTGTGTGGGCAGACATTCCTGCTGCCAGATCCTAAGTCTAGCAGAGATTCCTGCCAAACCCATTCAGCTGCTTGATTAAAGGAAGATCCGGCAGGCCTTCTATCCTTGGGCTGCAAGGTATCCTCCAAGAAACTCTCTTCATGCTAATCAAGACTTAGCATGCAGTGAAAGATGCTATGCCAAAAATCCAGTAGACTAAGATTTTATCAGCTTGTATTATAATGTACAAGATTTTTCTGATATTCCTCAGGCCTCACTGTGCTTCTTTAAAGTGTGTCAATGTCAACTGATGCTCAGTTGTAGCACTCTTGACTCTGAGTCAAGAGGTTGTGGATTTGAGTCCCATGTCAGGATTTAGAAGCTGAGACATCTAAACTGACATTCCAGTAAAGTATTTAGGATGTACTGTAGTGGTAGTGACATCTTACAAATTAGACTTTGTCAGCGATGAACAGGGGAATTATCCCATCATTATTTGTGGGGGTTTCCTACCCAAATTGGCTGCCTTGTTTCCTAACATGAAAGCAATAATTGCATTACAGAGAAGACATTGCTTGTAAAGTGGTTAGAGCCTTCTGGTACTCAAACAAGATGGTATGTAAATGCTAGTCCTTCCGTTCAAAATGATACCATTTTTATTGTTTATCTTTAGCCTTGCTTCCAAAATACATCATTTATGAAATTTATATTTTATAAATTCACAGAATTATTGCAGTCTAGAAAGAGTCCATCCCACCCATCATGTAAATGCCAGCTCTCTGCAAGAACAGCTTGCTTGCTATTTCCCTGTAATTTTTGTAATTTCAGTTAATTATCCAATTCTCTGTTGAAGGTTTCAGTTGAATCTCAAACATATACACTGTCAAGCAGAGCATTTCAGATCCCAATAATTTGCTGTTTGAGAAAGAAATTCTCATGTTACTATTGCTTCTTATTTTGCTTCTTTTGCTAAACCTTTTAAATTGGTGTCTTCTGATTCTTGACCCTTCTGTTAATGGAAATAATTTTTCCTTATCTACCTTGTCCTGACGTCTAATGATTTTAAATGATCAAATGATCCTCTCCTCATCTTCATTTCTTCCAGGAGAAAAGTCCCAGCTTCTCCAGGCTGTTCATGTTGGTCAAGTTCCACATCCCTGGAACCATTCTCCTAAATCTTTCCTGTAACGTCAACTAATGCCTTCACATCTTCTATAATAGTGATGCCTAGAATTGGACTCAATATTCAAGTTGGGGCTGGACCAGTGGTTTTGAACAGGTTCTTCATACCTGCTTGGTTTTATACCTTGTTTCCCCATTTATAAAATCTGTGATCTTGTAAACTTTGCCAGCCACTTTCTTAACCTCCCTGGCCACCTTCAATGATTGTTGCACATATGTCCCCAAGTTTCTTTGCACTGAGAATCACTTTAGAATTATACCCTTTGTTTTACATTGTCTCAGTCTTCCAAACAAAGTAAATAACTTCATGCTTCACTGCATTAAATTTCATCTGTCATTCATCTGACATTCCACCAGCCTGTTGACTTCTCTTAGAGCTTAATAGTATTCTCCTCAGAGTTCATACTTCTACGTTTTGTGCCATTGAATCCTAGAACTCTACAGCATAGAAAAAGGCCCTTCAGCTCATCAAATCTGCACCAGTCAAAAACAGCCACCTACTGTAATGCCATTTTCCAGCACTTGGCCCATAGTCTTGAAAGCTAGGGCTGCTCTCTCATTAGAGAGAGCGCTGACTACTGGAAGTTTGAACCCAAGGGTCAAGGGCCGAGGTTAAGAAAACAATACCTTCATGGCAGCCTCAGCTAGTTCAGGAATTGAAACTGCACTGTTGGTGTCCCTCTGCTTTGTAAACTAGCTATCCAGCCAACTGAGCTGTTGCAACATTGTCACCTGCAATTTTTTTTTTGTTTATTCATTCATTCATGGGATGAGGGCATCGCTGGCGAGGTCAGCACTTATTACCTATCCCTAATTTCCCTGTGGGCAGTCAAGAGTCAACTACATTGCTGTGAGTCTGGAGTCACATGGCCAGACCAGGTGAGGATGGCAGTTTCCTCCCCTAAAGGGCATTACTGAACTAGATGGGGTTTTCCTAACAAAAGACAATGGTTTTGTGGTAATCATTAGACTCTTAATTCCAGATTTTTAATGAATTCAAATTCCACCATCTGTCATGGCAGGATTTGAACCTGGGTCCCCAGAATATGATGGGGTCTCTGGATTAACAGTCCTTTGATAATACCACAAGGCTGTTGCCTCTCTCATTTATAGAATTGCACCCTGTACACCAAATTCTTGGTCATTAGTCCAGAACAAGTACGTAGTGGTCCCATTACTAACCCTAGAAAACCCCATTAAGAAGCCCTACAATGTATCTTCCTCTGTTACCTTTTACATAGCCAACTTTATATCCTTGCTGTCACCTTTTATTCAATGTGTTTCAACTTACTGACAAGCCTATTATATAACATATTATTAACCATTTTTTGAAAGTTCACATACACTACAAGAACATTAAGACTGCAGGGGAGGCAATGGCTGAGTGGTATTATTGCTGGACTGTTAATCAAGAGACTTGGGTAATGTTCTGGGGACCCAGGTTCGAATCCTGCCACGGCAGATAGAGAAATTTAAATTCAAAAAAAGAAATCTGGAATTAAAAGTCTAACGATTACCATGAATCCATTGCCGACTGTTGGGGAAAAAAAGCATCTGGCTCATTAGTATCCTTTAGGGAAGGAAACTGCCATCCTTACCTGGTCTGGCCTACATGTGACTTCAGACCCATAGCAATGTGGTTGACTCTTAACTGCCTTCTGGGCAATTAGGGATGGGCAATAAAGGCTGCCTAGCCAGCGACACCCATATCCTGTGAATAAATGTT